TGGTTTCAAAATGCAAGAAATAGCGACGCGCACAAAGTAGCAGGTGCGATCAATGAGTTTTATGCAGTCCTGTTCAGCGGAAACAGAAATATGCTAACATCATCGGGCTGGACTTTCGCATATCTGTTAGTGTAACGTAGGCATGCGCAGAAACCAATTTTAAACTTCTAGAATCGGGCATGAACAGGAAACTTGCTTTCAGAATTTCGACTTTTTATCTTCTCTACTTTCCCGGTTGGAAAATTTTTCGCCTAATTTTCTTTTGTCTGCGTGTGACACGTAGTCGTGTGTGGAAGATGAATACAAATGTTCAGAGTTACCCATTGTCAGGAAATATAGTCCTAAAATTTCAGCTTGCTATCTTTTCTGCTTCCCGAGCTAGAAAAATCCCCGTCAACCCAAACTCATTTAATTCTGGAATACTTTTTGTAAATTTAGCTGGTGTCTGTGCATCGTACTCCCTACCTTTCAAAAAGAGCATATGGTTGTGGTGCCCGCTTGCATTTGTATGCGGATTTGCTTTTTGCATTTTTTACATCTGTGCAATGCAAAAACGCATAAAGGAAAGGAGCTGTATAGTACGTATTTGTGTGCGCGTGTCTGTGTATGTGTGCGCGCACTCGCTAATCTATCTGCATATTTCGACTTTCAGGTTTAAGAAAGTCATAAAACTGAAATTTTGGTAACCTAGCCCACCGCGATGTGCGGTTCCGCAAGCATAAGATGAACGTTCAGCTCCTCACGCTTCCCACATATGGATGCGTAAAAGATTTTTTCCCGGTAAGTCGATCTCGGGGGCCAGATAAGCTAAACTGTTGAAACTTTGCTAGAGTGTTCCTTGTTTATGCGCGTCTCAAAGAATTGAAATTCGGCTTTTACGCATATCTGCTTCCCAAGTACGAACACGTCAAAATTCACATTGGTGCAGTGCTAACTCGAAAATTAGACTGTGCGGGAAAGCGGTAATTTTCTTTTACTTCCTGACCAGGCTAGACGTACTGCCACTACCGTTGCGATATGGCCGCAAGCATTCCGGCACTTCGTATCACCGGGATGCACTGATTTTTAAGCCCACTTCCTTGTTTTTCTTTACCTTTAAGCCTCTGCCCTACCTCACTCGACATGTTAGCGCTGCTGTCAGTGACATTTGTATAATCCGCGAAGCGTAAGCGGTTCAGCTGCTCGCTGATTTAATGTGCATGTTATCGTTTCAGTCTAGTGCGTGAAAGGCCATCTCGCGAACGGTCTTAAGAACATTGTATGGTATGGGATCCTCCTGCCTCACGCTGTTTTAGATCAGTGTACGAAACGTAGGGGTTGAAAGTATTGTTTGTTGAGCAGATTTTATGTAGATATTGGAAATGACAACATCAACCACTCATTGGCGAGGCTGTCGATGGTTTCTTCTTCCGAGGGTTGCGCAGAAGAAAGGCAATAGCGAGGCGAGACTTACTTCCTAGCACACATACCCATTACCATTTACCGTCGAAACTAATGGTCGAATCGTAGAGAGATTTATTGTCTCACTATCGAGTCGAATATTTGATCCACTCCGCAGCAGCAATGCTACTTCACACTGCGCCATGATCATCGTATAAATAGAGTTAACTGACACTATAGATTTGATTAACATTATCGTAGCACATGCCTAAAAGGCAGGCGATAGCACGCATTCTCCTGCATGACTGCAAAAATTAGAAGTGCGCTGTGATGGTTACTGTGCGTGTGCCTTCATGCAGTTCAGCTTGTGAATTTTGAGGAGTGCAAATTCGAAGCTCTGAGTGGTTGTTCATCGGGGCGATACATGAAATCAACTTTCAAGGTTTCCAGTGGTTTTATTTTTTTGATCAAACCCAAAACTCGACCAGTGCTGCGACTTGAGAACAAAGCTAGGATCTGAAAATTTCAACGGTTGCATTCTGTTTTGACTCGGGTGACTCTAACTTTTGAAATCAACAGTCTTCTACAGCCTCAGATCTATATTTAGGAAAATGCTTTAATTTTAATACTGAGTGATTTGCCCACTTAAGTTTTTGCATCTGCTTTGTGTGTTGAAATGATCTCTGATCATTGTTCTGATTTTAGTGTACCCTGAGTTGAGACTTCGATCTTGGTTCAAACTACTGTTTTAGATTTGCACGCTTTAAATTTTGCAGCTCAGATTTGGTACGAAATGAGAGCTGAAGGGTTTGGACAGTGTGCCTTCTCATATCACCCAGCAAACGCATTAGATGCGCCCTGTTTTATCTTACTAGAGATCGTTTTCTGTTTCACGGTTACTGCTGACTGGTACACAGGGTCGTCGGTTGTCGGCATTGTGAGTGACACGTCTTGCGCAGCGAACTATTTCAATTTTACGCGTAGAGCACATCAGACAAAGCGTCCATTTTATCTTCTGTGCGAGCGTGAAAACTCCAAGTGTGCATCGCTCTGCTGCTTTTTCCGTAGCGAACAACATCTGTCTGTTCTGTTTTATTAGTTTCCACGTCTAGCTTTCGTGCGTTGAAAGTGCAAATCTGACTGTCTGTCTTTGACTCCCTAGTTATAATAATTAGCTGTGGAATTATGACTACAGTAAGTGAAGCGCTGATTTTAAAAAATATGGAAAATTATGACTAGCATCCGGTCGTAGGGACATCACCTTTTATGAAATAATGACGAAGCTCGGCTTGACTACATTACTGAGTTTTTGCGATATTTTTGGTGATGTCTGGAAATTCATTGACAGAATTTCAAGATGGGTTGTAGTGATTCGCTTTGCTCGTCCGTGTCGTGTATCTAGCGGCGAGAATCTTGCCTCACCCCCTACTTTTGTAATGCCCTCATTCGTCCTGCGTTCATAAGTAAAAGTAGATTTGTGCATGCTCATAATGCATGTGAAAAATGGCGCTGCTGCTACTGAAATGCACTGACTCAACTCCCATGCATCATTCGAAATTTGAGATCGGAAAAGGATGTATCTGGGCAGCACAACTTGTGCTGAAGCGTGTTTGCTTCCTGTACAAAAATCCGGAACAAATGAAGCACTGAGTGCGATTGTTGAGTCAGTTATGGCTTTACCACTCTAGCCACACTTTTCATGGACCAGACATTAGTAGTGAGTTTTTGAACAAATGCTTGTCAAAAACAGTTGCAATGTGTAGCGACTGTCGCAAAAATCAGAGATGGTAAGAATCGTCCAAGTGCTTTCGTAGCTCATACTACATGTGGGCCTTGAAGGCTGATTTCACCTTTTTTGCCTCTGTATGTGGGTGAGGAATATACTTCTTAATTTTCGGTTTCGTAGCTTTCATAGTTTTGCTTGTCCGCACATACAAATAGACAAACACACACACAAACACAAACACGGTTGTCATCATGCGTTCTTGTGATTCTCACAAAAACCTCTTAACAAAAATGGAAGACGCATATCTTTCTTCTTTGTTAAATCTACCAGTGTTAACTGTTTGGAAACTTGTTATACGTTTTGTCTGTGCAACAGCTGCACAAAATGCATATTATCGCGACCCAATATGTGTGCGTGCGTGTGCGTGCCCGAGTGCATTTTGTTCGCAACTTTCAAATCAGGGACCACAAAAGTTAGGGAGGTGAAATTTTAGGAAAATGTTCCTCGCCTAAATATGACCCCGCAGATTTAGTTTCAGCCCTTCCCTACTTCCCGTGAAAGTTTTGGCGGGAAAAATTTATATCCCGGGAGCCAGAAGAACCAAGAGGCCGGAAATTTCAAGGGGATGTTTTCTGCCTATGCAGAGGCCTGACAAACTCAAACTCAGCTTCCAAGTATGCCAAGATCTCAAATACGATCACGAAAGGTTTTGGCGCGAAAATCACTAACTGAAAAGCCAGAGGACTAGAAAACTGAAATTTCTGAAGGGTGTTCACCACCCAAAATTTCAAATCCAGCTTTCACATGCTGCGTCTCACGTACCGGTGCGTGAAATTTTTAGTGAAAACGCAACATATCACCATTTTTGCACAGACCAAAAGTGTAAAACACTGAAAATTCTTAGTAGGCCTACGCTCGTTGAAAGGAGCTGCGTAAAACGCATAATAGAACCTGTTACTCTGGTGCTCGCCGTTACGTATTTGATTTTGCGCCAAGTTTTGTATAATCGCTGAAACATGGGTACTGCGACTTAAATATGTCATTGTTTTTTATCATAATTTTTACGCTATTCGTTATCATTGTTTATTATGATGCTTTTTTACGCTAATTGTTAAATGTTTGTGACCGAGTTGCTCACTTTCATGATAATATGATAATCATGTGTGATGATAATATGATAATCATCTGTTCGGATTACGAAGTGCTCTTCTGAAATATTTTTGTTATTTTGCTATATAAAAAGATATAGAACATTGTGCATGTGCTTCTTAAAAGATACGAACAAGGTGGATCGGAACAGGGCTGGTGTAAAGTTTTATTTCGTTGCAGTTTGCTAAAACGAGTAACAAATTTGCAAAATAGCAAGCTGATGTGGGGCACTGTGAATCCATTTAACGGCGCGTACCGTCCTCGAAAAATACACCGCCATCGATAGCACAGTATTTCGGGCAGATACCTTTTTCACCTTGACTTCCTGGAGGTCCAGGGGGTCCAGGTTGCCCGGGTGCACCATCTGCTCCCGGCTGCCCATCTGGTCCCGGCGGTCCTTTCGGACCTGCTGGGCCGGGTGCACCGTCGCTGCCTGGTTGTCCTGGTGGACCGGGTGGCCCTGGTGGCCCAGGTTCACCTGTAACATCATTCACTGATCACAAACCTGCATTCCGTAATGACTTATCTGAATGGAATGGAGTTACTTTTTCAAACGTCGAAGTTCGAAAAATTCTCATTTTTTCATTTCTTTTTTTTTTTTTTTGAAAAATGGTGGAAACAAACCAGCTGGTCCAGGTTCTCCGGGGACGAGTGGTTCACTTGGCGCAGGTACTCCGGCGTCTCCTGGTGGTCCTGGCGGTCCGGGTTCTCCAACTGGTCCTGGCGGTCCTTTTGGTCCGGGTTCGCCTGGTGCTGCATCTGCTCCGGGAGTTCCTGGTTGTCCTTGTGCTCCGGGTTCGCCAGGTGCACCAGGGGGCCCAGGCGGGCCAGGTTGTCCTGCTGGACATGGTTTGCATGGAGGTGGCGTTATTGGTTCGCAAGGCTGGCTTGGTGGTTTGCCAGGATTGCCTGGTAGGCCAGGAGCACCTGGTTTGCCGGGTTTTCCAGGTTTACCGGGTGGGCCAGCTGGTCCCTGGGGCCCTGGCAAACAGCATGCGTCGCAAGCGCCTCCTTGTGATACGGAGCCACCGCTGACACCGGCATCACCTCCACCGCCTCCATAACCCGCTTGACGCGCAGTGCGATTTTTTGCGACGGGTATGTTCTTCAGTTCGTGCACTTCTGCCCAGATGTCTTTTGCTGACCCCTGAAAAAAGTACTGTTTAGAATAACAACCTGATTTAACTAATCTTA